GAATTAAAAGGGCAAACTTAGGCCAAATAATGTGTAATGTACTAAAGTTAGTTGTCCAAATTGCGTATATATGTTATTTTAAATTAAAATGAAAACGCCAATTCAACAAAAGAATTAAATTATTGAATTTCACAATAATATATTGAAACAAGCTCTAGACTAGAAAATTTTAATTGAAACTCTAAAATTATGAGGTTAGATTAATGTGAGGGACCTTTAAAAAAGGTCATATGCTATGATTTAGAAGAGATATGAGATATCTCATCTTTATTAATTTCAACTCAAAATTTGGTTATGTCATAAGATCTTTAATTAAGATTTCGATAAGCATAACTCATCCAATAATTTTGTTTGTGAGCTATATATACTACAAAATTTAGCAAAATAATAAAATTTTAAAATACCAATAATTGGATAGAGTTTATTTATTGTAGTTGGTGTTATTTATTAAATTGGTGAGAGGAAAGAAGCTTTTGAATTTACCTTCTTTGCATTGGAGTATTACACAAAATAGGATGGAAAAGAATCCCATGAAGACAAGGGAGCTAAAATGGAAGCATCCATGAATTAAGAATGTTTTTATAATACGTATCAACTAAAAATTAATTAATAAGTGTATACTTTTAATTAAAAAAAATTAATTTGAGATTAAATTCAAGAATTTAACTCTATAAAATGTTAAACAACTAATTTCAAAGTATCAAGAAAAATAACTAAAGCTTACATACTTGTTATTCTTTCACAATCCTTGATTTTGAGAGATTAAGATCAATAAATCAAATCTAAATTAAGTAGGTAATTACTTTCATAAATTTTATAATTGGATATATAGTGACATAAATTCCACTTTAAATCTCAAGTTTGATGAGAAAAATGTGTAGCAATGGTCCATATCCATTCCAAATAAATTCATGCCAACTTAGATTCTCATAAAAAAAAAAAAAAGCTTCTGTTTCTCATTGGTCCATCCATCCATTCAAAAACCTTATTTTAGCTAAAAAAAGGTTAAACCTCAATATTTCTCTTTAGTAAATACACAAAATAAAAAGAGAAAATGAGAAACAAAACTTTTTTTTTTTTTGCAATAAAAATGTCATATATACCTAATCACAATTATTAAAAAATTGTCACATAACTTAAATTTCAATTGAATCTCTTCTATCATGTCACTTTTAATTAGATATTAAGACATCTTAATTTTCTGTTTTACTTAAATAAAAACGATGTGTATTAACAAAATTTAATTTTCCTGTTATTATCAGAAAAAAAAAAAAATAGACATCATGTTTTGAAAGAAATAAGAAAGTAACTAAGGACAAAGGAGAATGATAAGCAAGTGCCATCAAGAGCGCGTGTTTCTTACAACCCAAGATTGAGACGGGGCTTCACAGGAACTCATCATTGGAGAAAAAAGTAAAAAAAATAGAATATGCTCTTTTGCTATTAGGATTGTACCAATACGTAAAATAGGAATATTTAGGTAATAAAAGGGCTAAAATCAGTGAACCTGCCTTTATCTAAAGGTTTTTATTGTATAATTTGATTTATTTTAAATTATATAAATAGAAAATATTTTTTAATTTATATTTTTAAGTGTTTGATTATTACATTATTTTTACATATATAAATATAAATATTAAAAAGTATAAAAAATATCATTAATTTTATTATTAATATCACATAAATTGTTTTGATTAAATAATTATTTAAATAAAAATTAATTTTATTTTTTAATAGTACTAATTACTCCTTTTGTTTTCAAATAATGATAAATTTTTTGACTTTTTTAATTAAGAATTTAAAAATAATATTTATATTTACTTATAATAACTTAAAAAAATTTGTAATTAAATAATAAAATAAAATAAATAAATAATATTAAGATTAAAAATAAAAACATTTATCTATTATAAAAAATAAAAAAATTATAATTAATTTAATATAATTTTAAATTTAAAAACAATAATTGTATTTAAAAAATTATATAAAAATAATGTGGCAATTACATTCTCTATATATATATATACATGTCTAGACCGCACATGTTAAAAAATCGAAAAAAAAAAAAGGGGATATGATGGAGAAGAAGTGAACGGGAGAAGAGAAAGAAGAAAACTGTGTCGTGAAGCACCAGGCAAAACAAAAACCCAAAAAAAAAAAAAAAAATTATATAAACAAAACCTTCTTCTCCTTTCCATTCTTTCTTCTCTATTCTCTTCTCTCTGTAAAACATCTCTCTCTCTGACCAAACCACTCACATTCATTCTTTGCTTCCTCCTTTTATATCACGAGATCCCCATCTCTTTTTTCTCTTCTTCCTTTCTCTTCCCCCCTTCATGCCTTCTTCTTCAGACTCGCTGCTTCTGGGTTCGGTTTCGTCTCTGCGCTTCCGGGTCCCTGCATTTACTTCTTTCTCTCTCTGTTGTTGTCCTGTTGATTCCATTTGACAGACATTGATGATACTGGCTTTGGTGGGGAAAAGTTTTTGAGGGGGGGAGGGGGAAGAGGGAATTGGAACGACCCATTTTGTCAATTTTGGTTCTTTGCTTGGTTTTGTTGCTGGGGTGGAAAATAGACTGAAATGTCGCATTCTGGGAAATCTATATCGGACCTGGGGTGCGATGGGCTTGCTGATCAGTTGAGAGAGTCGCTGATTTGTGAGGCTAACAAGCCGGATTTTCGAGAACTTGATCTGGGTTCGCCGGTTTCGCCGCTCCGGCTTAGGCCTAGTGCGGTTACAACGACTACAACTACTACGAGTTCTAGTTCTAGCTCGTCTGGATCGGTTTCAGGTAGGAACGGGAACTACCAGGTAGCTAGAAGATCTGAATCCGGCACCGGCAGCCATTCCGGTGAGCTGTCAGGTCTGAGCGAGAGTAGTCCTACAGGCCCGAATAGGAATCTGAAAACGGGTCACGCAAGATCCGACTCTGGCACTACCGCCCATCCGTTGATCTATTCGGGTCAGGGGTCCGTGACATCGCCTCCCCTCAACGCCCTACCCACCGGGAATATCTGTCCATCTGGTAAAGTACTTAAAGCGGGTATAGCAGCGAACCGGAGCACCAGGACCGACGTTTTGGGATCTGGGTCGGGCAATTATGGACATGGTAGTATAATGCGGGGCGGTGGCGGCGGAAGCGGAAGCGGCGCATCAAAAACTGCTTTTGTTGACTCTGTGAACACAGCTTATGTACGAGGAGGCGGCGTAGACGTGATGGGGCGGGCAATGTTGAGTGTTGATCCGGAGGAGGTGAAGAGAATGGGAAATGAGATGTATAAGAAGGGGCTTTTTATGGAGGCACTGGCGTTATACGACAGGGCCACGGCGTTGTCGCCAGGGAATGCAGCCTACAGGAGCAACCGGGCAGCAGCCTTGACTGCTCTAGGGAGGATAGGAGAGGCAGTGAGGGATTGTGAGGAAGCGGTGAGGTTGGATCCTAACTATGGGAGGGCTCACCAGAGATTGGCATCATTGATGCTTAGGTAAGTGCTGGATGACAGCAATCAAGGTCTACTTTTTTTGTGATAATGGCTGGTTAGATTGATTAGTAATTGCTAGTTTTGGGCAATGTTGTGATCTACATTTGTGGGGAGTGATGATGTTGTTCGATGAAGTAAAGTTTCTTTGTATTGGCTGTCTGGTAATAGTTGCTTATGATAGGTTTGGGTGTATGTTGATGAGAGAACTTTGTTTTGATCTGATAATATTTTGGGGGTAAATTTTGGTGGGTGGTAATGGTTTGTTTGATCTACATTGGTAATAGTCGCTTTTTCCTTCCGAGATGGTTGAATAGAAGTTGTCTATTTTCTTCATTAATTTATTTGTTGATGGCTGCTTAAATTTAAAGGCTTTTGTGAATGTTTTGGGGAATGAGTGTGATTAACGGTAGTGATTTAATTGGCATTGTTGAAAGCTTTACACTTTAATGAATTGTTAGATCCAGTCATGTGTTGTGAATTGCCTGTTCATCTGTTTGCTATGTTTATTGGATGGTCGACTTCACTTACACTTTGCTTTCTGATCTACATTACCTAGAATCCACACTTCTCCTGCATCTACTCTCTTCGTTTTTCAATTTTTTGTTTCTGACTTTGATATTTGTTATAGATGTATCACTTCAAACTACTTGTTTAGGTTCCTGATTCCTTATTTTCTTGCTTGGTTTATCTTATTTGGTTAACTCGGTGCAATCCTAGGCTAGAAATTGAGGTTTTGTGTTTAGTAGGGGTTATAAATCCTTAGCTTTTGGAGGATCCACCACTACTGCAAAACGTGTAAGGACATTGCAAAGAGTCAATTATGTAAGAGGCTTTGATCACATACAGGCAACCATAAATCATCTTTCTCTTACAGGTTGGGGCAGGTTGAGAATGCGAGGAAGCATCTTTATTTTCCTGGGCAGCATCCAGAGCCAACTGAGTTACTCAAGATGCAAGCAGTAGAAAAGCATCTTAACAAATGCACAGATGCTCGGAGGATCAGAGATTGGAAAAGTGCATTGAGGGAATGTGAGTCTGCAATTGCTGCTGGAGCAGACTTTTCTCCTCAGGTAAAATCTATGCCTAAAACTTTCCATCAATCTTATTTGAAATATTTCTGCAGTCAATGTACTGAGAAAAGGGCTGAACCTGTTCAAATTGATTTCACAGCTTTCTATGTGTAGAGTGGAAGCACTTTTGAAACTCCACCAGCTTGATGATGCTGAATCTAGCCTATCAAACATTCCCAGAGTAGAACCAAATACCACCTCCTGCTCCCAGACTAGGTTTTTTGGGATGCTTTCTGAAGCTTATCCATTTTTTGTCCGAGCACAAGTTGAGATGGCTCTGGGAAGGTGAGTACAAAAACACTATGCCTCATCAGAAATTAGATGCCAGAGGTTTTTTTTTTTTTTTTTTGAGGAGAGTCACAAAACAGACGATGGATGCCTTGCAGGTTTGAGAATGCAGTTACAACTGCTGAGAAGGCAGGACAGATTGACCCTCGAAATGTTGAAGTTGATGTACTGCTATACAATGTGAGGTTGGTTGCAAGAGCTCGTGCACGGGGCAATGATCTTTTCAAATCTGAAAGGTTCACAGAGGCCTGTTCAGCATATGGTGAAGGACTCAAGCTTGATCCTTCAAACAAGGTTCTCTATTGCAATAGAGCAGCTTGTTGGTTTAAGCTTGGGATGTGGGAGCAATCTATTGAGGACTGTGACCAAGCTTTGCATATCCATCCCAGTTACACTAAAGCGCTTCTTCGAAGGGCTGCCTCGAATAGCAAGGTAATGTGTTTCTTCAAGCATTTCTTCATTATGTGTCTGGTTCCTGAGGTCATTGATATGTACATGGATTTTTTGGTTCAAACCAATGACATTAGTATGAATACAGCTGGAAAGATGGGCTGATGCTGTGAGAGATTATGAGGTATTGCGGTGGAAACTTCCAGATGACAATGACGTGTCTGAAGCTTTATTTCATGCACAAGTTGCACTGAAGAAATCCCATGGGGAAGAAGTTAATAATATGAAGTTTGGTGGTGAAGTAGAAGAAATATCCAGTATTGAGCAGTTCAGAGCAGCAATATCTCTACCAGGTATCATTTCTGGTGCTATCAACAGACAACTTTTAGTTGTTTTCAATATATATATATGATGCAGTTAAGTTTTCAGTTGTTTTCTTCAGCCCATTGCTTTGGGGCTTTCTACTTTTGCAATCCCCTTGACAATTAGTTTTGAACTGCAGGTGTCTCTGTAGTCCATTTTAAGGTGGCCTCTGACTCACAATGCATGCAGATATCTCCATTTGTGGATATATTATGTGGCCGCTATCCGTCCATTAATTTTCTCAAGGTAAATGCCACACTTCATGCTATTGGCTCCCTGCTTTCTCCACCTGGTTTCTTATGTACGTTCTTGTGGTGTGTTTTGAATGAAGGTGGACATTGATGAGAACCCATTGGTTGCAAGTGCTGAGAATGTGAGGATTGTACCAACATTCAAGATATACAAAAATGGTAGCCGAGTGAAAGAAATTGTCTGCCCTAGCCAGGAAATGTTAGAAAACTCGGTGAGGCATTACAGCTTTTAGACTTCATGAATGTACTGTACTTTCTCTGCCCATTTTGTGTTTTCTACTTTCTGCCCAAACATCCATTTTGTTGGGAACACTTCCACTACCCTTCAAATCCTTCTTCCCACCACATAAGGATTACTACATACCCGTGACATAAGTCAGAGCTACAAAATAATCTTTTCTTAGTGGCCAATGCCAGAGGAACCCAGAGAATTAGCTTAGTTTCATTTTGCAGTTTTCATTTATTCATTCATTCCTCATTGCTCTAGGGTTCCCTTTCTTCCTCTGTTCTCTTTTTTTTTTTTTTTTTTCTTCAACCCATTTCCATTTTTCACGTAGGCCAGCTGGTTCTTGTATCACTACTTCCATCCTGTGAAAAGAAAAAAACCAAAAAAAAAAGAAAAAAAGAGAGACAGAGAGAATATGTACAATCTGATTAAATGGGAATACTTAGTTACATATTAGAGAGACATAGTGAGAGGACTGGCAGGCTGTTAGAAGAGGAACTGTACATGTATATATGTGATGATATATACAAAACATTGGAAAGTCCTGTGGGAGATTGGATGTATGTCTGGTGGGAATTTAGTTACTGGGTTAGTGAAGAAAGAAGAAGGGTGAATATGTTGTTACTAATATTGTTGTTTCTTTTCTCTACCATTTCATTAATAAAAATCCCCATTTTTTCCCTCTCTCTAGAACTCCATATTTATGTTCCTCGCAAATTTGCAACTCCCCATTTATTAAGATCATGAAAAATCTTAAATATCCCACTAGGATCAGTACTGTCATTGCCTGAGGAAATAGGAAACAGCTGACCTTGTCTTGAGATGGGTAGAAAAAGTACATCTGTTTTTAAGTGAAAGTTGGTTTTCTTTTTAAGGTGTGGACTGGGTAGTTGAAACAATTCATTACTCTTGTCTGAGTATATCATCTCCGCCTCCCAAGATAGGTAGAGAGCTGAATTGGCCTGAGATCCTTCACTATGTGCTTGTTGCTACCTCAATAAATGGCATTGCTCTTGAGTAAACGTAATAATGCACTGATCTCATATCAGAAATGAAATGTGATTGTGATCGGTATTTCAAAATCTGCCAAACTCTTAGCTTGTTACAAGGCTTGAACGTGAAACATTCAACGCAACCCACAGTATTTACTGTACGTGCTCGTAAGAAAAACAATCAGTGGAATCCCAAGCTAAGCAAGCAACTACAACATGCACAGATTTGAATTTACAAATTCTTTGGCTCACAGTTTGGGAGCCTGACACCATCTAACGTCACAAAGCAATTATTGGATCTCTTAACTGTTGGCAGTGGGATGATAGTTATATGCCCTTTTTTCATTCAGATGTTTGTTTGCTAGTGAAGCTTGTTGTTTACCTTGATGTGGGGGCACGGGGAGTGTGAGTGGAAGTATCCCTCTTGAGAAGGGGATTTACATTCACATATCTCCCAAATGAGTACCCCCACACCACACCTAACCATAAGGGTCCAAAGTGCAACTGGTGGGCACTAACGCGCGCCGGTGCCGTCCCAGTTTGTGACTGTGACTTTGACACAGGCCATCTGGTAGGACCCTTCACAAGCTGATAGCCATGTGTTGTGCTGTTGTGGTTGCAATGAATGCTGTTCTTTTCTCTGTGAATTGATTGAAGATTCAGGGGCATTAATGGTGAGGAGAAGTGAAAAGACTCTTTGATTGGATACAAGACAAAATCTTACCCCTTATTTTTGTGGATGCACATTGTTATCTTTTTCTTGTAAGGATGATGCTTCCAACGCTATGGCCTGATACGGTTCACAATGTACAGCCTCTGAGCCTGTTAGATTCCTATTTCAAACCCTCACTCAGCAGCTTGATTAAACTTTAACGTTGGGACAAAAAGGTTGAATGGCAAGCCTACATCCACATTAGCAAAACCTTGTTGCGGGATGGTATTTGGTTGAATATAATAAATATTTTTTTTATATTTAATAATAGATTATAAAATAAAAAAAAAAAATTTTTAATTTTTTTTATCTATTCTAAAATTTCAATTTAAAATTTTCAACATATTAATTCCAACTCTCAATTTTTGAGACATTCATCAAGAACGAATACAACAGATCTTGTCATGGAAACAGCTGCAATTAATATATATTTATTTCTTTGTCTCAAATCTATCCGTCCATTTTAAAAATTTAACCAGGAATTGCTAATATGGAGGTTAAAATGTTTTAACCCAAATTTTGGGACTTTCCAACGTTTTGGTAAATTCTGTTCGAGAGTTTGCTTTATTGCAGTCTATCCTACACTAAAATGCAAAAAGAAAACCGATTTTTTCCCGGGGGGTAGGGGTGGCACCATTCTAGAACTAAAGCCATTTTACTATATATTCCTTTTTGTAGGAATTTTCCATTATTTCAAAAAATTTTTTTTATGTAGTAGATGAGGAACCACATATAAATGAACAATACTTTTCTTTTTTAAAAAAAAAAAACTTCTTCCCTATTTGACTTATTATGGAATGTTAAATTCTTAATTAATTGGCTAAATCTTAGGGCATATGGCATTATAAATCTTTGCTCAAGTGTAGACAGAAATTGGAAAGAAAATGGCGTTGTGGGGTGACATCTAAACCAGAAGTGGAATTAAGGCTAGATTTGGTGGTGTTACATTGTGTTGTAGCAGTATGTTATTTTTTCGTCTTTTTATTATTAAAAAATATATAAAACATCAATAATTAAAATTAATAAAAATATATAAAAATTAATTAAAATAATAAAATAATTATAAATTTATATTTAAAAATAATATGTTATTTAAAAAAATGTTTGTTTGTTTTATTTTTAAAAAATTAAAAAAAAGTAAAAAATATCTTAATTTTATGTTTTAAAAATAAAATATTTAAATTTTTTTCAATAAATATTTATTAAAATGATATAATTTTAAAATAATATTTTTTTAATTTTTAAAAAATAAAACTAATAAGTATTATTTTTTAAAAAAAATATTTATCAAAAGTTTTAATAAATAAAGCTTTACGCGTACGGTAGCTTTGGTGGGCCAAACGAGGTAAAAGGGTAATGTAGGGGCTGGCAAAATGTCGAATTAGAAGACAAAATGATACGGAAACCTTTTTTTATTATTTCCTTCTTCATCTTCTTCGTTTTTTTAAGAAAAAATAAAAAGAAAAAATGGAAGCCATAATAACCGTTGCTTCTTACTTTGTAGATGTCGGGTGTCTGTAATCTACTATATAATGACGCCAAAAAACTAAACCGTTGTAGATTAAAAACATGTGTTTTTGTATCATTTTTGTCACTATATATGGTATCTATCCGATCCAAGTCACTTGCACTAATGAGTTGAGTGTTCTTGAAATAAATCTTAATTAATATGAGTTTAAGGTTTTAAATTAAAAAATTAAAGTTTAAATTTTTAATTTTAGAATATTGTGAGATGTCTCATAATTTTTTGATGTTTAAGCTCTTTTAACTCTTAGCCTAATGCCTTGAATTCAAATACTCCTTTCTCACAATAGTTAAAATTTTCATAATATATAAGAAAAGCTAATTAATGAGACGTAATACGAGTTGAAACGAAGTGAAATTTCCTAAATTTAAATTTAAGACGTGAATGCTTGTCATGACGGGAAAAAGGAATGTAACATTCAATCATTAGGTAACTGGCATCATGGAGTAACTTTTTTCATTATACGTTTCAAGATACCTATTTTGAAGGTAAGGATTTTTTAATTTGTATTTTAAAAATATTTTTGTTATATTTTTTTTTTTTTTATTTTTTTTAAAAATAAAAATTAATTTTAATTTTATTAACTATTTAATTAATGTTTTGTATGGTATTAATATTGAAAATAAAGTTTATTTTTATTTTTTTTTATATATTTTTATTATAAAAAATATAATATATATGTTTTTAACATATGTCCATGTCAAAATCTCTTGAAGATTATAAGCTGGCTATTAGGTCCTTGGTACAATGTTTCCATATTTTTCTTTTTATCATGATTGCAAAATTACAATTGTTATAAGCTGGCCATTAGGTCTTTGGTACAATGTTTCCATTTTTTTTTCTTTTTATCATCATTGAAACATTACAATGTTGGGAGTACAATTGAAGATGATTATGATAGTCACTTTAGTAGGGTATGGAAGAAAATCATCATCATTACATTAATGAATGATTTGGCATTGAATGGGGGGGAGGGGGGGTGTCTTCGAAATGGGGATTTTAACTTTAACCATATTGCTAACTGTTCCATCTTCCCTCCTGCGTCACTTTGAGACTTGGGGTTTAATTTGTTTGTGTTATAATGTGTTATTATTATAATTTTTTTTTTTTGTCTTTTGTTATTTCAAAAATATAAAAAAATTAATTAAAATTATGGCATTGAATGGGGGGGAGGGGGGGTGTCTTCG